CAGCTCATAACTGGAACAGAACTTATCATGTAGTTCAACAATTTAACAAATTATATTTTCCTAGTATTCTGTTAATTCCATGGTCATCAGCTTTTGAAGAGTGCCAATAATAGAATTTTTTACCTCCTTAGCAATCCATTTTCTGATAAAACAACTCAATATCTCAAAACTTTGCTTTTTTATTTCCTTACTCATCAGTCCATAGTTGCAATGACACCTTTGGGCCACAGTGTATTAGATAAATTATTCTTTCAAATGACAACCCTCCTTTTTTTAAATATTTGAATAGAGTTCCTACATGACAGGACATTATTTTATTTAGGTTAAATATACTAATTACTTAAATCCTTATTTGAACACATAGTCTTCATTCTTCCATTCACTAGTCACTTCTCTATTTTTAGAGATACATCCTATAAGTAGAGACTAATGAACATATTTTAAAGTTTATTTTAATTTTTAAATACTGTCAAGCACACAGATTGCAGAAGGCATTGTAGTACGCATACAGCATCAACACATATATTTATTTATTAGCAATCTAGTAATTGCAATTTGGTGATGTCAGTAAATATGCTACTTTATGGTTTAAAAAACTTTTAGGCAATTATTTTATTATATTTTATTTCCCCATAATTTCTGTGAGGTACATAAGACAAGTCTTTTAAAATTTATTTTAGTTTGAGAACTATAGATATTGGCACTTGCCCAAGATGAATAACAGACAGTACTTGGGATATTAGTCAGGTCTTCAAACACCAGTGATTAGATCTTCCCAATTACTTTAATCTTTTATATAGATAATGTTTGGTTCATAAGTAGTAAAGGGGAAAATATCTCTCACAGATTTCCATAATTTTAGAAAATAATCGCTATTAAGTAAAACTAGGGGAAACCCCAAGATATTGATCCTCTTTGAGACTGCAATTCAGTATTTTTCATGTTAGAAAAATAATCTGATGGCCTTGGCTGGTGTAGCTCAGTTGGCTGGAGCATCATCCAGTAAACTGGAAGGTCTTGGGTTCGATTCTGGTCAGGGCACAGTCCTAGGTGGCAGGTCTCTCCCCACACCCCCATCAACCCCCTTTCCCTTCAGAGTTGGGGCACACACTAGAGGCAACCAATCCATGTTTCTCTCCTTCTCTCTCCCTCCCTTCCCCTATCTAAGCATGTCCTCTTACATTACATGCTTAGTGAAGATTGGAGAAAAAGAAAAGAGTCTCAGAAATGTCACACAATGGGAGGAAGAACCCTAAGAAACAAGAAGTATGTAACCACAGGCACAAAGAGCTTGCCAAGAGAAGAAACCAAAACAATAACAACAACAACAACAAAAACCCTAGGGTACACATTAAGATTCCTGTGGTAAAATTTAAGAAAACCAAGATTTAATAAGACTTTATTGACAAAATTCTTCTCGAAATTATATGATTCACTGCAAAAACACTAAGAAAATTAAGAGCTGATCAAAGAGAATTTTAAAGTTTCCTATTCAAATAAAATCAATAAAAACAATAATCTCACCTGAGCAACGGAGTCTTCCTCTTTACAAAACCCTGAATCTTCCTGAATCAAAAGAGGCTCGCTTTTCTCACAGCTCTCCTGGCTGATGAGCGTGTCCGCGTAGTTGGGCTGCGGGAAGATCAGGTGACTCTTCCGCGAGTCCGAGGTCAAGGAGACCTCGTGGGAATACGTCTGCAGGAAGGCCCTCACCCCGTCCACGCCCACAAAGTGCGAGGCGGGCGCGCCCACCAACCCACCTCCAGAAGCCTGGAGCAGGCGCGATGCGGACCAGCGCCGCAGCCTGAGCGCGAGCAGCACGATGACAAAGGCGAGAAAGACGCAAGAGACAGCGGCCACCGCCACCACCAGGTACAGCGTGAGGCCTGAGGCATCGGAGTGGTGCGGGACCTCCAGGCTGCCTAGCTCTTCCAAAACATCTGGGATGCTGTCAGCCACGGCCACCGTGAGCGTGACGGTGGCCGAGAGGGGGGGCTGGCCGTGATCCTGGACGGCCACCACCAGGCTCTGCTTGAGCGCGTCTCTGTCCTGCAGGGCGCGTGCAGTGCGCACCTCGCCCGTGTGCAGCCCCACCACGAAGAGCCCTGGCTCGCTGGCCTTGAGCAGGCGGTAGGACAGCCAGGCGTTCTGGCCTGAGTCTCGGTCTACTGCCACGACTTTGGTCACCAGATATCCGGGTTCTGCAGAGCGGGGGGCCAGCTCCACGCCTGTGGAACCATCTGTGGGGATGGCAGGGTACAGGATCTCTGGCACGTTGTCGTTCTGGTCCAGCACGAACAGACTCAGTGACACATTGCTGCTGAGCGGCGGGTCTCCGCTGTCATGTGCAGTCACTCTCAATTGCAAGTCATGGAAGTGCTCATAGTCGAAGGAGTGCAAGGCATACAGGACACCAGTGTCAGAGTTGATGGAGACATAGGAGGATAGAGGTGCCCCCTGGACAGTGTCTTCATCCAGGGAGTAGGTGATGTGGGCGTTCTCATTGCTGTCAGGGTCGTGAGCAGTCAGAGAGAATATGGAGGCCCCTCTGGGGTTGTTCTCAGGGACATAGACAGAGTAGGAGGAGTGGGGAAAGGAAGGTGGGTTGTCATTGGTGTCTGCCACATTTAGGGAGATGACTATTTCTGTAGACAGAGGTGGCACTCCTTTGTCTGTGGCTGTCACAGTGATGTTGTACATGGATACCTGTTCTCGATCTAGAACTGTATTGGTCACTAATCTATAATAATTGTCCACTAATTTTTCTAGCTTAAATGGCAGACTTCTTGAGATGGAACATGTTACAAGGCCATTCATTCCAGAGTCATGATCGTATACTTGAAGAAGAGCAATTACTGTTCCTGGCGGTGTACTTTCAGCAATTGATTTGCTTCCAAATGTGACTACTACTTCTGGTACATTATCGTTCACATCCAAGACAGTTATTAAGATTTTTGCTCTGTCCTGTAGACCTGCCCGATCCCGGGCTTCAACATCCAGCTCATAAAAGCTGGAGTCCTCATAGTCTAGATTTTCAGAAGTTGATATTTCTCCAGTGGCCACATTCAAGGAGAAAATTTTTGATATCTTTTCGGTTAACCTCACAAAGGAATACGTTATTTCTGCGTGGACTCCTTCATCCTGGTCAGTGGCATTTACTGACAACACTGGCGTACCTACTGGCAGATTTTCAGGAACACTCACAAGATAGACAGGCTGAGTGAACATGGGAGCATTGTCATTGGCATCTAGGACAGTTACCACAATTCGTGCCATGGCCGAACGGACAGGGTCACCACCATCCATTGCAGTAAGAACCAAGTGGTGAATGGACTCTCTCTCCCGGTCCAGAGCACGCTCCAGCACCAGCTCTGGGTATTTGGGCCCATGGGCTTCACTTGGTACATCCACTGAGAAGTGACTATCCCCGCTGAGCTTGAAGCCCTGAAGAGAGTTCATTCCCACATCTGGGTCAGAGACCTCTATTAGTGGAAAACGAGAGGATGGGGCTGCGTTCTCAAGAATTTTCACTTCCAATTCTTCCCTTAAGAATCGAGGTGTATTATCATTAATGTCCACTATTTCTACTTCTACAGGATAAAGATTCAGTTTGTCCTCAACAAGGATGTTAAAATTCACCAGACACCGCACACTCTGAGCGCAGAGCTCCTCCCTGTCTATCCTGCCCGCGGTGACCAAGCTGCCGCTTTGGGGATTCAGAGCAAAGAGGGGCGTCCTACCTCTGGAGATGATGCGGACTCCGTGCTCTGCCAGTTCCTGAGGCTTCAGCCCGAGATCGCTGGCGATGTTGCCCACAAAGGAGCCTCTGTCAAGTTCCTCAGAAATGGAGTAGTGGATCGGCCGGGCCTGCGTTCCGACCCCCCACAGCGTCCCCTGGAGTATAAAGAGCAGGACTAACCCGCGGTGGCACCGGCGCCTTTGCAGAGCCGCCATTACTGGCTCCTCATGGACTTCTCTGGGGTTATGAGTAGGGGGTCGCATCCCTCTTGAGCTTCTCAGAATTACAGTTCAAGGTCCATAAACAAGCAGAGATCCGATGTGAAGCGTTTTAGGTCAGAATTTTTGCACAGCTGCAGAGCTTTTGTGTCTAATCTGCTTTGTGCTTGAAGGATATAACTCGAGTACTCCTTGCTTTGCTTACCCGGGTTAGTGAACAGCGACGCTTAGAGCCCTAACTTAATACTACAACGTTTTGTGAAACCATTATACAGGGGATGCTAATTCAGCTAAATCTGCATAGATAGCACTCATAAAATGTCTTTCTTCCTAAGAATGAGAAGCATTTGGAAAAATAAAAGAGCTTATTTATTTTTAAATAGTTGTATATGCTCCCTGAAATTTATTGTTCATTTTTGTGGCGCTATTTCTCTTATAGCCTTGAAGAACAGAAATATTAAACTTTTCTGTAAATCCTAAATTATCACACTCCACCATCATTTACATTTATCCCATTTTTTAATAAGAGAATCACCACAAACATATTTGAACCAATCCAGTTAGTGCCAGTTAAGTATTATCATTTTTAAATTTCACTATCTATTTTAATTAACATATAGATTAGAACTGCCCTCATTTAGCCATACCGATGTGTACTTTTTAAAACAAGCAAATGAAGTGAAAATATATGATCTACAGTAAATAATATATTTATATTATATATAAAACACAATTTTGGTTGACTTCATTGAAACTAAGAAAACCAATTGTCTGGATTTATATTTAATTATATGTGGACAATGAGTCTCACAATGAGAATGTGAGGTACTAAAGTATTAAAATGTTCCAGATATATTATTTTAGGGTTAACAAGAGATTTCAAGACCATCACAAGGTGACTTTGCATAAAAGAACAACTGCAACACAGATAAGTGAACAAAGAATTTCTAACACCCTTGTTGCATGCCCCCCAAACTCAATAAAACACAAAATCAAGATAGACTTAGCCTGTACAGGTTTCCCTCTAAATAATGAACTGAAACTTAATCATATTTATGGGAGGAAAGGATTTTGAAGTAACTCACCTGTTGCAAATGGACTGAATCAGAAGTCATTTTGGGATTGTCATTACTGGTACTTTCAAACCAAGAGGCTTCATTACATAGCAGATCTTGTGGTGGAGCATTTTCAGGGTTTATATCTAGAAATTTAAACTCAGCTTTTGAGGAGCGTGAGGCAGCACACAGATTATAGGAATAGGGCAAAGTCCATTCGCAGTAGTTGGGGGAAAGCCCAGGTCCAGCCTTGGAGCAGACACCATCAGTCTGAAAGCAGCTACAGGCAGCGGGGCTGGAGGAGCGTCGCAGGCTCAGGGCAACCGCCAGAATCACGGCCAGGAGGAAGAGCACGGAGATCAAGGCCAAGGCCACCACCAGGTAAAACTGCAGCTCAGCCTGGGGGTCGGACGGCGCTGGGCGTTCGCTGAGGTCCGGCAGGGCCTCTTGGAGGCTGTCAGCGAAGACCAGGAGCAGCGTGGCGGTGGCCGAGAGGGGCGGCTGTCCCCCGTCGCGCACCGCGACCAGCAGGCGCTGGCGCGCCGCGTCCCTGTCGCCCAAAGCACGCGCCGTGCGCACCTCGCCCGTGCGCAGCCCCAGGCTGAACAGGCCCGGCTCGCTGGCCTGCAGCACGTGGTACGACAGCCAGGCGTTGTGTCCCGAGTCCGCGTCCACCGCCACCACCTTGGTGACCAGGTAGCCGGGCTGCGCGGCGCGCGGCACCGTGTCGAAGAGCGCGGAGCCGTCGGGCCCCAGCGCCGGGTACAGCACCCTTGGCGCGTTGTCGTTGCGGTCGTCCACCAACACGCGCAGGCTGACGTTGGCGCCGAGCGCGGGCGAGCCCTGGTCGCGAGCCTGCAGCGTCAGCTCGAAGGCGCGCAGCTGCTCGTGGTCGAAGGCGCGCTGCGCGAACACCACCCCGCTCTGCGCGTTCACGGACACGTAGGACGACAGCGCCCGCGGCTCCAGGTCGCTGGCCACGATGGAGTAGGAGACGTGGCCGTTGGGTCCCAGGTCGGGGTCGGAGGCGCTGACCTGCGCTATGGAGGCACCGGGTGGGTTGTTTTCTGCCACGTGGACCACATAAGAGGCCTGGTGGAAAATAGGAGCATTGTCATTGACATCAGCTATGTTGAAGATGACACTTCTGTTGGAGGAGAGGGGTGGTTTGCCTTTGTCAGTGGCTGTGATGGTAATGTTGTACTCCGGAGTCTGCTCTCTATCTAGGGCTCCATCTGTCACCAACTTGTATGTGTTTTTTGTTTCTTGAACTATTTTAAATGGGAAACTTCCACTTAGCTGGCACAGAATTTCCCCATTAAATCCAGAATCCAGATCATGTGTTTTGATCAGGGCAACAACAGTCCCTAGCTCTACATCTTCTCTTATATGTTTAGATTCAGAATCCAGGGTTATATCAGGAGCATTGTCATTTTCATCCAAAATATCTATTTGTATTTTACAATGTGCTGTGTGATGCCCACCATCCTTTGCTTCTACTCCAATTATGTAGTGCTCTCTCTCTTCAAAGTCCAGTCCTCCACCAATGGAGAGTTCCCCTGTTTTACTATTCAGCTTGAACAGTTGTCTCACTGCCTTACCAATGTTGATGAAAGCATAGGTGATCTCAGCATTGCTGCCCTCATCCAAGTCAGTGGCTGCCACTCTCAGCACAGAGGAGCCAACTGGCAGGTTCTCTCGAACACTGACCCTGTATGTGTCCTGGGTGAACACTGGAGGATTATCATTTGCATCCACCACAACCACCCTGATCTGGGTAGTGCAGCTTCTGGCAGGCTCACCCCCATCCACAGCGGTGAGGACCAGATAATGGCAAGATTGCTCTTCCCTGTCCAGGGGAGCCTTCACTACCAGTTCTGGGTACCTACTGCCATCAGGGTTCTCTTTCTGGTTCAAAGAGAAGTGTGGGTCAGGGCTGAGGTAGTACTGCTGCAGGGAATTGACCCCTACATCTGAGTCTTGTGCGGATTCCAAGGCAAAGGTGGCTCCAGTTAGGGCCAGCTCACTAATTTCCAGTTCAGTGATATTTCGGTTGAAGGTCGGTGGGTTGTCGTTGATATCCTGAATCGCTACAGCTATATGAAAGAAGTTCAAAGGCTTTTCAGCAACCATTTCGAATTCCAGAACACACGTCGACTTTTTGCCACAAATCTGCTCACGGTCTATGCGGTCGATCACAAGTAAATCCCCGTTCTCCGTGCTCACTGAAAAGAATTTCTTCTCAGCACTAACCCGCAGGTTCCGAGTAGGCAAATCGCGAAGCCCCAGATCCTTGACGAGGTTCCCCACTACGGAGCCCCTGGCCAGCTCCTCCGGAATAGTGTAGCGGATCGTCTCGGAGAGCGCCGCCGGGCAGAGCAAAGGCAGCAGCAGGAGAAAAGACATTCTCCTCCGCCCAACCGGGCCCAGCAGTCCCCAGCGGCTTCCCATTCCCCTTTCTGAGCCTTTGCCTTACTGATTCAGAAGAGCAGCGATCGCAAACGATCCCAAGAATTCCCTGAGCAGTAGCGATTCCTTGATTTGTCTCGGCAGACAGGTTCTTTGATAGACCTCTCCTTTGCAGAGAGCCGGAGAGAGAGTGCACCGTTTTCCCGGTTCCGCGCTTTGATGGCGATACCTTTGCGTCAGAAGTGGCTAACACTTCTCTCAGTACTAGCCGACAGCGGCACCCCGCGTCTAGACTGTAGAACTGCAGTACTGATTACTAAATCAGCTCCAAATACTGAGGCGCCTGCCTACAAGGCAATTCCTCTGTATCTGATACAGATACTCTTTCTACCTATTTTACAAGGATATAACATTTAAAGTATTTACTATATCTTCTGTCTGGCTGTGATTTCTTTGAACGTGAACTTTACTCATCCAAATCAAGTGAGTTTTACTCGTCAAAGAGCAGAGATACCTTGCTGAAGATATTTATTGGTATGGTCGTGCTGTTAGCTTCCATTGTCATGAAATGGTCATAGTAACATCTTCCTTGCTTACCTTAGTAGAATTGAGGACCAAATAAAATAATGTACAGAAAATAATATAAATTAAATACAAATGAAAGTGTTGGTGGCAACAGAAAATGTAATACGTTAATTCTTAAAAATTTGGTATGTATTGTTATTCCACTCTGTTTTCTTTTCTTTTAACTCATTAAAGTAATAAATCTCATAGGTTTTAGTTTTATCCTATGTTTCACTTTCTTCTATCTTATCTTTATCACCTTCTCCCCCAAATAATTGATAGGTATCAAGGAGATTGGTTGTCCTTACAAAATAGAAGTATGGTAAGAATCAAGGTACTCATTTTCCTTAGTTTCCTAGTGTCTACTTTTAAATGACTATGATTTAAAAATTATTCTACTCATTTTATTTTTCCACAATACATTACAATAATCTTTAGTTGCATTGCTTCTTCTCAAGTAGCTTCACAGTGGTGAGTTATTTGGATTATGGGGATGAAGTGTGAGTCCTTATGATTACATATCCCAAACAGATTAATCTATGCTGCCCAGTTTTCCTTGGTCCACAGGTCATAATCTGATCATTCTAACCCTTTGTTATTGACACTCTTTCCTTGTCAACAGACATTTGAATTTCCAGGTTTTTGACAGATGTCTTACAGTTTCCATTCTATTTCCACACTAGAAATCTTCATATAGAAATTGTTTTTTATTTCATTTTAACTTTATTTTCTAAGGAATTGTGTTTTTAAAAAAGATTTTATTTACTTTTAGACAGAGGAGAAGGGAGGGAGAAAGAGAGGGAGGGAAACATGACTATGTGGTTGCCTCTCACATGCCCCTTACTGGGGACCTGGTCCACAACCCAGGCATGCGCCCAGACTAAGAACTGAACTGGTGACCCTTTGGTTCACAGGCCAGCGCTCAATCCACTGAGCCACACCAGCCAGGGCAAGAAATTGTGTTTTAAACCTACATAATATATTGCCATTCTAAACTTTGACAGGTGTGTAGTGATATGGAACTCATACTGGAATAGTATTAGAGCACCTTAAACTGCTTATTGTATTCAGGATTCTAAACAGGAACTCATATGTATCTCTATACAAACATAAAAAACACTACTGATGCAAGACTTTGTTCTAAAACATGACTGAGCAAGTGCCTTTCCAACAATATGTGAACATTTCAATTAGTACAGGAAAGCTATCTTTTCAGAACACATATGAAACTAAGGATTCAAACATTTAAAAGAGAATAGAGTGTATATATAATAAATATATACACTCAGTATGTGAATTAAGCATTTTATTATGTAAAGTATACACAACATATAATCATGAAATTTAAGACCCATAGACCAGCATTTTATTAAGAAATATGTATTAATTTAAGATAAGCACAGCCTCTGAGAAATGTTTTAAAATTTGAAACCATTTTAAAGTTGAATTAATTTTCCAAACACGAAATCTCAGACTTTTTAAATAGAGCAGAATTGTATGCAAACATTCAGGTAGCTATTGATTCTGAAATGTGAAAGGGTTACATCTAACCAGAAGATGCCAGGTGTGTGGCACATTTGAATTCAATGAATGCAGCAGTGTCTAAATCTTTGGAGATTTTAAACTGCACCACAGGATAAAGCACAATTCTAAGATTCCTCACTGATTTCTTCTCTCAACAAATATATATTCTAATAATTTCATGGTTTAATCCAAACTTGCCAGATATCAGAATGCCAAAGACATCATCAATATAAATTCAATCTATTTTTCTGATATTTCTTATGCAAAACTTTTCTGTATTCTTCCAGTGATTTATCTAAATATGTAAATTATTTCCTTATTCAAACAGCAGATATACTTTCCCAAACATATCCAGCATTGGTGTTTAGGCACATATTCAAAAGAAAACATTATATCTACCAATTTGCACTAATCAAACAACTCATCTATCAGGATAATACCAGTTCTGAGTGTAAGAAAGTCTTTGGGCAAAGTGATTATGTTTAACCACTTTTAAAGTACTTGTTTAAAAATAATAAAGTACTCATTTCATTTAAGTCTATGGATATCAGCTAGATTTTCTACAATATCTATGTACTGAAAAAGTAAGGCACTATACCCAAAATATAATTTGAAAATAAATGGAGAATCATGAGTTCTCAAATTAAATTAAGCTAGTCTCTAAATAAGCAGATAATGATTCACTATTTATGTAATTTCCCTATTTGAATATGAAAGAAAAATAATTGAGAAAACAAATGAACAAAATCTTCCAAGCATACCTACTGAAAAAGAAAACTCACCTGAACAACTTCTAGTTCTTCGTTTGCATTTACCTTCTCAGACATCAAAAGAGGCTCGCTTTTCTCACAGCTCTCCTGGCTGATGAGTGTGTCCGCATAGTTGGGCTGCGGGAAGATCAGGTGACTCTTCCGTGAGTCCGCGGTCAGGGAGACCTCGTGCGAATACGTCTGCAGGAAGGCCCGCACCCCGTCCACGCCCACAAAGTGTGAGGCGGGCATGCCTGCCAATCCCTCTCCTGAAGCCTGAAGCAGACGTGACATGTGCCAGCGCCTCAGCCTGAGTGCCAGCAGCACGATGACAAAGGCAAGAAAGATGCAAGAGACAGCAGCCACTGCCACCACCAGGTAGAGCGTGAGGCTGGAGTCGTCAGGGTCGGCGGAGGGTTCAAGACTGCTCAGGTCGGCCAGGACGTCTGGGATGCTGTCAGCCACGGCCACTGTGAGTGTGACTGTGGCCGAGAGGGGAGGCTGTCCGTGGTCCTGGACCACCACCACCAGGCTCTGCTTGAGCGCATCTCTGTCCAGCAAGGCCCGCGCAGTGCACACCTCGCCCGTGTGCAGCCCCACCATAAAGAGCCCTGGCTCGCTGGCCTTGAGCAAGCGGTAGGACAGCCAGGCATTCTGGCCTGAGTCCCTGTCCACTGCTACCACCTTGGTCACCAGGTAGCCAGGTTCTGCAGAACGGGGTGCCAGTTCCACGCCGGTGGAGCCATCAGTGGGGAGTGTGGGGTAAAGGATTTCAGGAGTATTGTCATTCTGGTCCAGCACAAACAGGCTCAGTGACACATTACTGCTCAGTGGAGGATCTCCATTGTCGCTGGCTATCACCCACAGCTGCAGGTCTCTAACCTGCTCATAGTCGAAAGAGCCCAGTGCATACAGAACTCCGGTGTCAGAGTTTATGGAAACATAGGAGGAGAGAGGTGTTCCCTGAAATGTATCCTTTGCCAGAGAATAAGTGACCTGGGCATTGTTGCCACTGTCAGGGTCATGGGCAGTCACAGAGAATATTGAGATGCCTCTGGGATTGTTTTCTGGAATGTAGGTGGAGTATGAGGTATGAGGGAAGATGGGAGGATTGTCATTGATGTCTGCCACTTTCAGGGAGATGTGATTTTCTGTAGACAAGGGTGGATTTCCTCGGTCAATGACGGTTATTGTTATGTTATAATCTGCAATCTCTTCTCTGTCCAGGGTTGTCGTTGTCAATAAGTGATAGTAGTTATCTACTGACTTTTCCAGTTTAAAGGGCAAGTTTCTGGAGATAGAACATACAATTTCCCCATTCTCTCCAGAATCACCATCATGTACGCTAAACAGAGCAATTACAGTTCCAGGAAGACAATCTTCGGAGATGGAACTGGCGAGAGAAGTGAGGATCATTTCTGGGACATTGTCATTCACATCCTGTACCGTGACCACCACCTTAGCACTGGCAAGAAGAGCACCTCCATCCTGAGCTACCACTTCCATGAGGTAGAATCTGGATTCTTCATAATCCAGTGATTGCACTGTTGAAATTTCACCCAGGTTGGAATCAAGATGGAAAGTCTGTGAAATTTTGTCTTCTTCATTGCGAAAAGAGTAGGTCAATTTTCCGTTTATTCCCTCATCTGGATCCGTGGCCGTTATTGTGAGCAGCCGAGTGCCCACAGATATGTTCTCTGGAACACTCACTCTGTACTCTGATCGAGTGAACTGGGGAGCGTTATCATTTGCGTCGAGGACCATTACACGGATGTGCGTAGTGCTAGAGAGTATGGGGTCTCCACCATCAAGAGCTGTGAGGAGGAGGTCGTGAACAGCCACTTTCTCCCTGTCCAAGGGCTGTTCCAGCACCAGCTCCGGATATTTCTGTCCATCACTTCCACTTTTCTCATCCAGAGAGAAGTGTATATTGGAGCTGAGCTGGTAACTCTGGAGGGAGTTCACACCCACATCCGCATCCCTAGCGAAGGGGAGCACTAACCGTGTCCCTGTAGCTGCATTTTCATTAACTTTTATTTTTACTTCCTCATCCCGAAAACGTGGGCAGTTATCATTAATATCGATGATTTCTACTTCTATTCCATAAATTTTCATTTTATTCTCATCCAAGATGTTAAAACTAACCAGACACTGCGTGGTCTGAGAGCAGAGCTCCTCCCTGTCTATTCTGCCCGCGGTGACCAAGCTGCCACTTCCTGGGTTCAGAGCAAAAAGCTGCGTCCTACCTCTGGAGATGATCCGGATTCCGCGCTCCGCCAGTTCCTGAGGCTCCAGCCCGAGATCCTTGGCGATGTTGCCCACGAAGGAGCCTTTGTCCAGTTCCTCCCTCACTGAGTAGCTGATCTGCCCGGCCCTGGCTCCCCGCTGCATCCCCAGGAACAGAAAGAGCAGGAGCAGCCCTCTGCAGCCCCAGCCCCTCGGTGGATCTGCCATTGCCTTCTCTCTGACAAGTGTTCTCTTAGTCCTGGTTCCAGCCTGCTGTTTCCTTATTTCTTTTAAGTCAAAGGGTACATATTCTTTTTGGACCTGGGAGAGGGACGTGGGTAAAAGGCTTTCCCCCGGAACTTGTCTGGTCTGTGCTGTGTTTAGTGCGGAAGGAGAGGAGAGTTGGGTCGCAGCAGCAGCAGCTTCTTTCCCACTTTAGTGAACAGCGACGCTCAGAGTCCTAACCAGTTACTACACCAACTGTGTTATTTCATAAATGTTTAAATATATTTTATCTCTAATAATTTAGCTGTAACCTTCATGTATTACTGTGTGACATTGTTTATATTTAATTAAGATTTAATTCTGGAATACCAAGACTTCTAGAAAACCCTGAGATCAATTATTAGATTATTTTTACTTCTTTAGAAAAAATTTATTTAATATGCCATTGAGCCTATGTCCTTTCTTCCCCTCTTATTTATATTGAGTTAATTGGATTAGAACATTGTAATTCTTACTTTTGTGAGTTTTAAGATTTCATCTTTGTATTAGGATATGTTTATGAAAACGTGCCCATTTCTACATGAGAATGTCAAGAAAACAAGTCTAGCTCTCAATGCATCTTTGTAAAAAGGCATACTAATTCATGTAAATTGTATTAGTTATCTTATGTAGAAAGAATTAAGGAGCCATTTTGTTACTTGTGAGGTCTTTGAGAAAGTTTTTCACACTGGAAATATGGCAGCTACACTATATTAGATGGAGAGTTGGAGTTGGGTTAGCTATGCATTACTTACATTTTCTTATTAACATGTCTGAATTGGAGTTAGACATTATACAGTGACAGACTCTTGAGGAAAAATCCATATAGTGACTGTAGAGGAAAGGGCTTTTGTTTATCACACATGCAGAAAAACATGTCTATAACTTAACAGTGAGCAGACAGTCAGTGGACTTTCTATGTTGAGGCAGATATTTAATGTTATCACCTTTACATGGTAGCAGAAAAAGAAAAACTTGACTACAAAAAATGGACATTTCAGAGAGTACATTAAGAGAAGAAATTTCTACTTAATGATACTTTCATAGGACATTGAAGAAAAATGAAGATATTCTATATATAAATAGAAAATTCAAAAATAAAGTTTTAAGTCCAGAATGTGTATATGGGTTATAAAGTCTTTCTCAATGTACAATTTTCAGAAGAGCAATTTGCTGCTATGTATGAGAGAGGAAGATTTCTCTCATTATTAAACACATTCTTAATAGCAGGCACCACAGACCTCAAACTTTGCCCATGCTTTTGAAATAGATCTAGAATCCCAAGACACTTAGTGTGTAAAGACACTTAGGTTGCTGGTGTCCAAGTCTGTCCTACCCATGCTCTGCTGTTGACAACCATGACATTGGAGAAAATTCTTCCTTTCTTTGGTTCCCAGTTTCCCCAAACTAGTAAAATGGGCTCTTCTCTTTATTCTGAAGTACTATAATTTGAAGAGAAAGTAAAACTAAAATCTGAGTAATAAAATCCCTGAATGTGAAATAATCTTCAGAGAGGATTGCAAAGCTGAAGAAAGAAGTATCTCATGTAGTAAAGCCTTGTAATTATAACCAAATAAATCTCACACATTAGGTAGAAAACCACATCAAGACTTGGTTAGATAAGATTAAGATAATTAGGGCAGTAAACTGCCTAAATTCAACCCACAAGACAATTAAATATGAAATGAAGTCTCCTACCACACATAAGTGATTTGTTAAGAAACACTGAAATCCAAAGTGAAAATAAGTTAATTAAGTTAAAACTCACCTTTAAAATAGTATCTGAGTCAAATAAGCCCTCACCATCTCCATTATTTGTATTTGGTACCCAAGAAGCATCTTCACAGAGGAGATCCTGAGTGGGAGCCACTGCCGGGGTCACGTTGAGAAAATTAAACTCTGTCTTAGCTGACTGTGAAGCAACGCACAGATTGTAGGAATAGGGCAATGTTCCCTCACTGTAGTTGGAGGGAACCACAAGTCCAGATTTAGAGCAGAGACCAGGCTGAAAGCAGCCCCAAGCAGCAGCGCTGGAGGAGCGTCGAAGGCGCAGGGCAACCGCCAGAATCACGGCCAGGAGGAAGAGCACGGAGATCAAGGCCAAGGCCACCACCAGGTAAAACTGCAGCTCAGCCTGGGGGTCGGACGGCGCTGGGCGTTCGCTGAGGTCCGGCAGGGCCTCTTGGAGGCTGTCAGCGAAGACCAGGAGCAGCGTGGCGGTGGCCGAGAGGGGCGGCTGTCCCCCGTCGCGCACCGCGACCAGCAGGCGCTGGCGCGCCGCGTCCCTGTCGCCCAAAGCACGCGCCGTGCGCACCTCGCCCGTGCGCAGCCCCAGGCTGAACAGGCCCGGCTCGCTGGCCTGCAGCACGTGGTACGACAGCCAGGCGTTGTGTCCCGAGTCCGCGTCCACCGCCACCACCTTGGTGACCAGGTAGCCGGGCTGCGCGGCGCGCGGCACCGTGTCGAAGAGCGCGGAGCCGTCGGGCCCCAGCGCCGGGTACAGCACCCTTGGCGCGTTGTCGTTGCGGTCGTCCACCAACACGCGCAGGCTGACGTTGGCGCTGAGCGCGGGCGAGCCCTGGTCGCGAGCCTGCAGCGTCAGCTCGAAGGCGCGCAGCTGCTCGTGGTCGAAGGCGCGCTGCGCGAACACCACCCCGCTCTGCGCGTTCACGGACACGTAGGACGACAGCGCCCGCGGCTCCAGGTCGCTGGCCACGATGGAGTAGGAGACGTGGCCGTTGGGTCCCAGGTCGGGGTCGGAGGCGCTGACCTGCGCTATGGAGGCACCGGGAGGGTTGTTTTCTGGCACGTGGACCAGGTAGGCGGACTGTTGGAAAACCGGAGCGTTGTCGTTGACGTCGGTGATGTGCAGGGTGAGGGTAGTGCTGGAGGAGAGGGGCGGCTTGCCTCTGTCCGTGGCCATTATAGTGACATTGTATTCTGGAATCTCCTCCCTGTTCAGAGCCCCATCTGTCACTAGCTTGTAATAATTCTTTGAGTAAGATTTCAATGTGAATTCTGTCTTTCCCAATATGCGGCAGTAAACTTCTCCATTTTCTCCAGAGTCTCTATCTCTCGTTTTTATCAAGGCAATCACTGTTCCTGGTGGTGAATCCTCTGGAAGCGGAGTAAACACTGAGGTTACAATCACTTCAGGTGCACAATCGTTCTCATCGAGAATTTCCACTTGGATACTGCAGTGGGCTGCTAGATCTCCGGGATCTTTCGCTTCTACACCAAAAGTGTAACTATTAGCAATTTCGAAATCAAAATTATCCTTTGTTGTGATTTCTCCCGTTCTTTTATCTAAGTTAAAAAATCTTTCCACTTGTTCGTCCACATTATGAAAGGAGTAGGTGACCTCCGAGTTAATGCCCTCATCCTGGTCTGTGGCTGTCACTCTGAGCACTGACAAGCCTGGGGGCACGCCCTCCTGCAGGCTGACCCTGTACACGTCCTGGCTGAACACTGGGGGATTATCGTTGGCATCGGTGACTTGAATTTGGATCTGGGTAGTGCCACTTTGGGGTGGGTCTCCACCATCTACAGCTGTTAGGATCAGTTGATGGAAATTCTGCTCTTCTCTGTCCAGGGGATGTTTCAGAATTAACTCAGGATATTTACGTCCATCTGGAGTCTGTTTCTCCACGAGATCAAAGTACTCATTGTTATTAAGGTGGTATCTTTGCAGTGAATTAGGACCAGCATCGGAATCCAGAGCTGGGTCTAGTGGAAAAGTTTTACCTGGCTTAGTGGATTCTACAATTTTTAAATCTATTTTTCTCTGTTTGAATAATGGAATGTTGTCATTTATATCCTGCACTACTACTGCTACTTGGAAAATATTTAGTGGTTTTTCAGCGACAGCATCAAAATCCAGAACACACACAGGCTTCTTCCCGCAAATCTGTTCTCGGTCTATTCTGTCGCTGACAAGCAAGTCCCCGCTGTCAGGGTCTACAGTGAAATATTTTTTCTCCGCGCTTACCCGCAGCTTCCGGACAGGCAAGTCCCGTACACTGAGCCCCAGATCCTTGGCAAGGTTACCTACCACCGAGTTCTTGGCCAGCTCCTCGGGAATTGAATAACGGATTTGGTCCTGGAGAGCTCCGCGGAACAAAGACAGCAGAAAGGGCAACAGTACCTGCCGCCACCGCGCTGGGCTGCTCCTCTCTGCGCTCGGCCTCATCCTCTGTCTCCCTCGCTACTGCTCCCTTTCTTGGTCGATGTGGAAGCGGAAAAGAGGAATAAGCCCTCCGTGGGCGGAAAAATACAGGAGAGGGGTAGTTTTTCTGCTTTTGTTTTCTGTAACCGAATCTGAACCGGTCTCTCCAGAGCGGTTGGCTTGAGCAGGGAGTTACCCTCTGAAAGGCTCCCAAATGTGTCTCGTATCTGCTCGTTCTTCTTTTGACCTACAGCGACGCCCAGAGGTTTTCCTGTGAAACTGCTCCAATGGCTTGCAGATGTTTTGCGAAGAATTTGTTTTTTCTCTTTCGGAGTTGTATTTATTTGTTTTTAAATAGGTATACATTCATATAGTTCATAAAATCTATAGACTTTTCCCCTCTGCTTTCAACAACACATCGTCCCAGGAGAAATTTCTTTTTCCCTTTTATTTTGTGTACTAGTTCAGAGAAAGGTTTTGTATAGTGAAGCAGAATTTCATAAATGTTCTCCCCTACTGTTACACATATATAGAGGTGTATATATATGTACACCGTGTGCTGCAGCTTGCTTTTTTCACTCTTTAGATTCTGAAGATAATTTCATATCAGTACATAAAGAGGATTTCCATTTATTTTTTATAGTTATATAGTAGCCTACCACATGGTTGTACAATAATTTATTTAACTAGAAATAATATTTCCTAAAAGCAACCTATTACCCATCCAAACAAAATGATATTTTCTATGTGCTATTATTACATATGTTGCTCTCCTAGTCATTTAAAATATGTATCATTCTGATTCTGGAATGCATTTCCTAATACCACCATCCAAATATGTTTGACACAGTTTGAGGCCAATTGATATTTCCAAATTATATTTTAAATTTTCAGTATTGTATATGATCTTTCCTCGGATATGATTGCTTTCCCAATATTCACTTGTTACTTTCTCTTCCTTCTCTCCATGCCAGCTGGTTGTATCACATCACATTCTTATTTACTCTATGTATTGCACCACAACTTCCCATGAAGACAAAAACATCAAGAAACTGAAACTCTCCTTCTTAATTGAATTCTGGCATAGCTCACAATCTATTGCTACAATTTCCAGGTATCCAAATGTCACTAATGTGTGTAGTTCTAGACATTCATGAATTCTGAATTAACAGAACTAAATGAAGGCATAAGGAACAAAGATTGCATATCCCTTGCACACTAAATATTTTCCCCTATATCAGATCATTGTAGAGCCACGAAGTGATAGAATTCGTTGAATCTGGATTGAGCAATTTGCAGGAACAAGGATAAGTCCTGCTTACTAAGTTTCACAAATTATATCCATTCAGAATTCAAGTTACCTAATCTTTATAAGAGGCTCTCTATGATGAAAAAGGAGAGATTTTTTCAAAGTTTTTTTTTAGAAATAGAGAAGGGTCTCATAGTGATGTCATAATAGGTAATTTAGATATTATTAAAATTACTCCTACAACCTAATGAAATGAGTGAAATAAAGTGGGTAGCATTATTGGTGACCACAGAAGGGCACCAAAGGAATCACACATAGTCATTGCTGGTGCATCTCACAAACTGCAACAACAAAGTACTTAAAATATACCAGTCCGATGGAAAAACTATCACTGTTAAATCTAAATGTTAAGTATTTCCCCTAGTATTTATAAACTGCCATTTTTTACTTATAATGGAAAATGCCCTTTCAAGTAAAAGAAAAGTAAACCTTAAGCAAAATATGCTGGGTGTAAAAAGAGGAAATTTTTTTAAAAGATGAAATTTAAAAATTAATCAAGATTCAACAATAGCTTCATAAGAGAAAATGCTTTAGAATGAATTTTCACAATTGTCTTCTATTTTGCACTTTGATACTTTCAGTGAGACTTAAAGGATAATGGCATTTAAAGAAGTGATGTGGTTAGAGATATAAAATTAAGAAATTGTGGCTGAGCCCTGGGAAGCGACATCCTATACATGAAATATTGTGGGTTTGATTCACAGTCAGGACATGTAAGGGAGATGACAAATCTCTCTCTTTCCCCCCAACTGTCCCTCTCGCCTCTCCCTCTCCCTTTTCCCTTCCCTTTCTCTCTCTCTCCCTTCCTCTCTAAATGCAATGAGAAAATGTCCTGGGTGAGGATTTAAAAACATTTTTAGAACAATTTGTTGCTGACACTATTACTGGATGAGGACTACAATGGATAAGTTAAAAACAGATACCTTTTAGGTTCAGTAACCATTATTGATCATTATTAAAGGGTCATCTGCCCCTCCCCTTTAAAGCACTAGAATACTGAAAAAAAGAAGTACCTTTATATGATTTGGTACACATCTTATACAATTGAAGCTTATACAATTAAAGACACAGCTGTCAGCCTATGTTTCAGTGTGGCAAGACTGACTCACCTGATGAAGACTGGGGTCTCCTTTTGTTTCAGGTAAATCCTGAGTTATCAAAAGAGGCTCGCTTTTCTCACAGCTCTCCTGGCTGATGAGCGTGTCCGCATAGTTGGGCTGCGGGAAGATCAGGTGACTCTTCCGCGAGTCCGCGGTCAGGGAGACCTCGTGCGAATACGTTTGCAGGAAGGCCCGCACCCCGTCCATGCCCACAAAGTGCGAGGCGGGTATGCCCCCCAATCCCCCTCCTGAAGCCTGGAGCAGGCGTGACTTATGCCAGCGCCTCAGCCTGAGTGCCAGCAGCACGATGACAAAAGCAAGGAAGACACAAGAGACAGCAGCCACTGCTACCACCAGGTACAACGTGAGGTCCGAGGCTTCTGGGGTGGAAGGGATCTCAAGACTGCCCAAGTCAGCCAACACATCTGGGATATTGTCAGCCACGGCCACTGTGAGTGTGACAGTTGCCGAGAGGGGAGGCTGTCCGTGGTCCTGGACCACCACCACCAGGCTCTGCTTGAGCGCGTCTCTGTCCTGCAGGGCGCGCGCAGTGCGCACCTCACCCGTGTGCAGCCCCACCACAAAGAGCCCTGGCTCGCTGGCCTTGAGCAAGCGGTAGGACAGCCAGGCATTCTGGCCTGAGTCTCTGTCCACTGCTACCACCTTGGTCACCAAATATCCAGGTTCTGCAGAGCGAGGTGCCAGCTCCACACCGGTAGAACCATCAGTCGGGGGAGAGGGGTACAGGATCTCTGGTGCATTGTCATTCTGATCCAGAACAAACAGGCTTAGAGACACATTGCTACTGAGTGGAGGATCCCCGCTGTCACTGGCTGTCACCAGTAGTTGCAGGTCTCTAACCTGCTCATAGTCAAAGGAGCGTAGTGCATACAGGACACCAGTGTCAGAGTTGACAGAGACATAGGAGGAAAGAGGCTCCCCCAGGAGCATGCCTTCAGCCAGGGAGTAAGTGACTCTGGCGTTCTCAATGCTGTCAGGGTCCTGGGCGGTCATGGATAAAATAGAGGCCCCTCTGGGGTTGTTTTCAGGAAGGTAGGCAGAATAAGAAGCATGAGAAAAGGCAGGAGGGTTGTCATTGATGTCTGTCACCTTCAGTAAAATGTGAGTTTCTGTAGACAGTTGTGGAGTTCCATGGTCAGTGGCAGTTACTGTGATATTATATTCTGAGACTTCTTCCCTATCTAGAGTTCTCTGTGTCAACAATCGATAATAATTTCCGTAGGTCTTTTCAAGTGTGAACGGCAGATTATTCGGAATAGAACATGTGACAAGGCCATTCTCTCCTGAATCACTGTCATGCACATTGAAAAGTGCAATTACTGTGCCTGGAGAAGAAGTTTCTTGGATAGAGTTGGTGACAGATGTAACCATGACTTCTGGAGCATTGTCATTTACATCCAGAACTGTCACCAGTACCTTACTTCTGGCTCGGAGACCAGGACCATCGTGAGCTTCTATATCTATATCATAAAATCCAGAGTCCTCATAATCTAGATCCCCCAATATTGTTATATCCCCAGTCACAGAATTCAACTGGAATAGCTGCGATATTTTATCTCTTACTTTCCGTAAAGAATATGCCACTTCTCCATTAGCTCCTTCATCTGGATCAGTGGCTTTTACAGTGACGATTCTGGAGCCCACCGGCACATTCTCCCGAACACTCACGTGGTACTCGGGCTGAGTGAATAGGGGAGCATTGTCATTGGTATCCACAAGCGTTACATGAATCCTGGTAGTGCCGGAGTGAACCAGGTCTCCTCCATCGAAGGCGATGAGAACCAGGTGGTGAACCGCCTCTTCCTCACGGTCCAGGGCGTGCTCCAGCACCAGTTCAGGGTATTTTATCCCATCAGCTCCGTTTTGCACGTCCAGGGAGAAGTGAACATTTGAGCTGAGCTGGTAACCCTGCAAGGAATTTATCCCTACATCCGGATCAAAAGCTTCAGGAAGAGGGAATCTTGTTCCAGGAGTCTCATTTTCAGCGACTTTTATTTCCCTTTGCTCTGTCCCAAAGTTGGGCGCGTTATCATTAATATCGATTATTTCCACTTCTACTCCAAAAATCTTCACTTTGTCCTCTAGGAGAATCTCCAGGCTTACTACACACTTTGGAGATCTATCACAGAGCTCCTCCCGATCTATTCTGCCCGCGGTGACCAAGCTGCCGCTTCTCGGGTTCAGAGCAAAGAGCTGGGTCCTACCTCTGGAGACGATGCGGACTCCGCGCTCCGCCAGCTCCCGGGACTCCAACCCCAAGTCCTTGGCGATGTTGCCCACAAAGGAGCCTTTCTCTAGCTCCTCAGGAACAGAGTAGCGGATCTGTTCTGCCCGGATTTCCCACAGGGCCCCCAAGAGAAGGTAAATCCCAACCAGCCTGCTGCAGTCTGGACGTTGAGGAGGAGCCGCCATTACAGCCCTGCCGCGCTTGGGTTTTTCCTCGGTGGAGGCCTGAGGAGCTTCGGGATCGTCGCGGTTCAAGACAGTGTATTTTCACCGTCCGCTGTTAGAGTTCCGGAATCCAGCTCGGAGCTTTAGTAAAGCCCCAGGGTCAGCGCTTTGTGATGCAGAAATCTTGTGGCTCACAGTAAATTCCCAGTTGTTGTTTCCCTGATTGGTGAGCAGCGACACTCAGAGTCCTAACCTGTTATTGCAAGCTATTCTTGGTAAAGCACCCGCTGTGTACCCCATTTCTTTTCTGTACCCTATTTCTCTCAAAAGGATAAAAGTTAAACTTTTGTTTTTATTTGCAAAAAATAAACAATCAAAATCTTCCTGTACAATATTATTATAAAGTAATTAATTTTTCAGAGAAAATATGGTGATGGTTTTTTGCTAAGAAAATTTTCTACCTCTTTTAAGTTTTTGCATTATTTATTCTCAGTCTACTTACAGAACAGTGTACTGTGTGAGAGACACATTTGTCCCACCCAGGAATGAGTACGGAGTTGAAGAATAAAAAAATAGGTGAAAAGCCAGTGTCTGGGAAGTCGCAAATCTGGACTCTAATCCCAATTTATGCAGAAACAAGTTTCTTCACATGAATGGATCTTTTAGAATCTAGGGTGGCTTTTTAGTTTCCTTGAAAGAAAATATCTACTCTTCAAGAGCTAGTCTTATCCTTGTGTCAATAGGATTGGCAAATATAGTAATCGGTTTGGGGAGAGAATTTGGTCATTAATTTTCTATACAGAAGATTCTAGACCAAGGGCTATGTCTGTGATTATCATGCTCACAATGTATCCTCAAACTTTAGAATACCATCCTTCATAGAGAATGCAGGCAAATAGTTTTTCAGTGTTAATGAATAAGTCACAAATGCAACTGCAAAGCATAAAACAATGGATAAATAACTCTGATATTAAAAATTAAAAACAAAGATAAAAAGATGGAAAAGTTGGAGTGAAAAACTATAAAGAGCAGACAATATTTCACTGATCATTTTTCAACATAAGGATACATCCAGAAGGTACTATTTTACCATTATTGCTAAGTTTAGCTTTGAATTTTGACATAATCAGTAAAAGGGAACATTTTAGTAGTTGCATATATATTGTCTTTGCATGTTTAATAGTATTATTATTCAAGAAAACAGAGTAATTTACTAACCTGAGAAAACTTGAGATAAAGCAGTAAGTACCCAGTTCTTTAGATTATTCCCCAAATAAGAATTAACTTCTACAAATTACTCAAAAATTTTAACCAGACACAAAAGTCCATTGACTATTCAGTCTTTAAATTTTCAGGCTTTGTAGAGCAGATTACAGGTAGATTTCACAATTCTCAAAAGATCCACAAATTGCTGGGGATTGGGAGAAAAAAATATTCATTACATTTCTTATTATAATAGTGACAGAGTAGAACAGATATGAAAATAAATTATTAAAGAAAGATTAAGAAAATTATTCTTAAATGAGATATGAAGTGGGAATAAAGCTGAACCAAAGGTAGTGGTTCAAATGTAAAATCTGGCAGTCTTTTCTACAAACGTAAGGTCAAGAAGTGCTAAGAGACTTATTGATTCAAAAGCTGTATTAAAAATACACATTGCAACAACAACAACAACAACAACAAAACAACTAGGATGTATCTGATATTTAACTTAGGCAGAAAGACCAGCCAGTACATTTACAGAGATTAAAGCTTGAAAAAAATAGTATCACACATCAACTAAGAAAGGATAGTGCTCTTACTAAAAGTAGTGACAACCAAGAAAAGCTCTCTTTAGTAAGATTTGCTGACCATACAGAAATGCCAACCATACAGACTGAGAAGTAGTAATTAGGTAACTGCCAAGAGTACTGAGCAATCAAGGGACCCATCTCCACCCATCCAATACACTTCCTCTCCCACTACCACTACTAGAAAAATTAGCAACGACCAAACTAATTATGCACACTGAGAATAAAAGAGAAGATATAAAATTTAAGTAGGTTTGCAGAAACTCACGTGTGAGGAAAAAGAGGAGTCATATGCGATTTGGGGGTCTTCATTACTGGTACGCACATCCACAGAAGGATCTTCGCACAGAAGATCCCGAGGGGAAGCCATTTCCGGGGTCAGGTCAGAAAAATTAAATTTAGTCTTTGATGAATGCGAGGGAATGCATAGATTGTAAGAATAGGGCAAAGTCCCTTCATTGTAATTAGGGGGAACAACGGGGCCAGACTTGGAACAGAGACTAGGCTGAAAGCAGCCCCAGGTGATGGGACTGGAGGAGCGTCGCAGGCGCAGGGCAACCGCCAGAATCACGGCCAGGAGGAAGAGCACGGAGATCAAGGCCAAGGCCACCACCAGGTAAAACTGCAGCTCAGCCTGGGGGTCGGACGGCGCTGGGCGTTCGCTGAGGTCCGGCAGGGCCTCTTGGAAGCTGTCAGCGAAGACCAGGAGCAGCGTGGCGGTGGCCGAGAGGGGCGGCTGTCCCCCGTCGCGCACCGCGACCAGCAGGCGCTGGCGCGCCGCGTCCCTGTCGCCCAAAGCACGCGCCGTGCGCACCTCGCCCGTGCGCAGCCCCAGGCTGAACAGGCCCGGCTCGCTGGCCTGCAGCACGTGGTACGACAGCCAGGCGTTGTGTCCCGAGTCCGCGTCCACCGCCACCACCTTGGTGACCAGGTAGCCGGGCTGCGCGGCGCGCGGCACCGTGTCGAAGAGCGCGGAGCCGTCGGGCCCCAGCGCCGGGTACAGCACCTTTGGCGCGTTGTCGTTGCGGTCGTCCACCAACACGCGCAGGCTGACGTTGGCGCTGAGCGCGGGCGAGCCCTGGTCGTGAGCCTGCAGCGTCAGCTCGAAGGCGCGCAGCTGCTCGTGGTCGAAGGCGCGCTGCGCGAACACCACCCCGCTCTGCGCGTTCACGGACACGTAGGACGACAGCGCCCGCGGCTCCAGGTCGCTGGCCACGATGGAGTAGGAGACGTGGCCGTTGGGTCCCAGGTCGGGGTCGGAGGCGCTGACCTGCGCTATGGAGGCACCGGGCGGGTTGTTTTCTGGCACGTGGGTCAGGTAGGCGGACTGTTGGAAAACCGGAGTGTTGTCATTGATGTCACTGATATGTATAGTGATGCTTGTACTGGAGGATAGGGATGGCTTGCCCTTGTCGATAGCTGTGATGGTGACATTGTATTCTGCTATCTGCTCCCGGTCTAAAGCACTTTCAATCATCAGCTTGTAATAATTCTTGGAGGTGGATTCTAATCTGAAAGGAACTTCTTCCTGAATATAGCATGTCACTAGACCATTTTGCTCAGAATCCTGGTCATGCACTTTAATGAGGGCGATTATGGTTCCAAGGTCTGAGTTTTCAAGAATCTTGTTAGAAAAGGACATGAATGTCACCTCTGGGGCATTGTCATTCTCATCGATAATTTCAATATGAACATTGCAGTGAGCTGTGTGTACTCCTCCATCCTTAGCTTCTATAGCCAACATATACATACTTGTCTCTTCAAAGTCCAATGTACCATTGGTTGTGATGTCACCAGTATTTGGATTGAGATTGAAGAGGAGGTTGGTGCTTGTTGGGGCATTGAGGAAGGTATAGGTGATCTGTGCATTAACACCCTCATCCTGGTCAGTGGCTTTCACACACAGCACAAAGGTTCCCCAGGGCACGTTTTCTTTGAGTCTAACTCTGTATGTGTCCTGGCTGAACACTGGAGCATTATCATTGGCATCCATGACCTGGATCTGGATCTGGGTGGTACCACTTAGAGGAGGGTCCCCGCCATCCATGGCAGTCAGGATTAAGCGAAGGGAACTCTGCTGTTCTCTGTCCAGAGGTTTTTCCAGTAGCAATTCTGGGTATTTACGTCCATCAGGACTTTCTTTCGTTGACAGAGAGAAGTGGTCATTGGGGCTGATGGCATAAACCTTCAGTGAGTTACTTTCTACATCTGCATCTTGTGCAGAATCCAGTGGGAATTTTACCCCTGGTAATGCTGATTCACAGATTTCTAAGTCAATGACTTTTGGAATGAAACGTGGTGCATTGTCATTAATATCTTTGATTGCAACAATCACATGGAACACATTCATTGGGTTTTCAGCAACAATTTCAAATTCTAGTGTGCACTTAGATTTTCTCCCGCAAATCTTCTCTCTATCTATTCTACCTCTCACTAACAATTCCCCACTCTCTATATTCATGTTGAAAAATTCCTCTGCACTAACCCACAGTTTTCGAGCTGGCAAATCCTGGACATTGAGTCCCAGATCCTTGGCGAGATTCCCCACCCTGGATCCCTTGGCCAGCTCCTCTGGAATCATGTACTGTATCTGCTGGGAGATGGCCCGGCAAAACAAAGACAGCAAGAAGAGAAACAGTACCTGCCTTTTCATTATTTCAGCTTGTCTGGAGCTTCTTTGCATTTCTTGAACTCAGTGGAGAAGCTTCTTTTCAAGACGTCTCTGGGATGTTTAAAAAAATCAATGACAGCACCCTGGATGTTTGGGATTTGATGGCAGGACTTGCTAGGCGCTTGTGGGTGCACAGGAGCTGAATAGGTGGTGCTCTGCTGTGCGCAGGACAAAGCTGTAAAGCACTCTGCCAGAAGCTCCTGAAAAACGGTATCCCTTTCTTCCCTTTGGTCAACAGCGGCGCCCGGAGGTTGTCTGGGAAAACTGCACATTGCCTAGCTCTTTATCCCCAAAGTATAAGCTCTTAAATCTATGCACTGTCTTTTTATATGTTGGAAAGAACCAAACTCTCAAGTTTTCCCATTAAATGCAACATTTTCTATTTTTTGTCATCTCATAAGCATTGCCACCATTTTACATTATTTTTTTTTTACTAAAGTATTTCATAAGGTCATAGCCATTTTTTTCCAGTTGGGGGGGCAAAAATATCTTCAGTGATTTCACTGTCTTTATATAATTTGTTTGACTAGTATGAATAACCAAATAAGTTACTGGTTTTTTATTCACATTTTAATTGACTATGATCCTTTCATTTTTGTAAATCCATAACTTCTCTTATTCTTATTTTAACTCTCTCCATATACACTTCATCGACTCAGTAATACTTTTCAAAGATACAGTCTTTGCAAGAAAGCATGAGTCAAGGCCCTAGGCTTACTTTTAATATATTGCTTATCTTTTAAAAACATAATCTTCCTGTTATGTACAGCAGAGCCCAATATCTTGTTGAAGGGACCTGTTTAGTATTTGAGCACACATACCTGCATCTATAAAGCTGAATCTCATGTAAGCCATATTCATTTTTAAGAAACCAGTGTTTCTTTCTTATTTGAACATGTATGTAATACTCCATAATGCCAATTTTCATTTCCAGCCAATGTATATCATTAAGAAGTGAAATGAGTTTGACTTGATCATTAGTTTTAATCTTAGAGAGGCATTGAGAGTTCTTAGATACTCCATTTCAGAACTTACCTGTAATCCTTAAACTGGTTTTGGGTAACTAAAACAAACCAATGCACCATCAAATAGATACCAACTCAATTTGTTCTATGATTTTGCAATGCTGACCCATACTCATCATACATTCAAGTCAAAACAGACTACAGTCTGTTTTTCTAAGAAATCCTTTCCTTCATTTTCCCTACTTCATGCCTTTATATTTTCTCTTCTTTTTATTAGAATCCCTTCTCCCATTCTCCTGTAATGAATTCTTGCCTGCAGTGAAACTAGGATGCCTGAGACCTTTCACTCTATTTGCATCTTTACAATATATATGTAGGTGATGTTTTATATGGGGTTCTTAGAAAATTCTCTTTGAACACCCAAAGTTCTCCTGGAACTAGCCATTTAACATTTTTTTCTCCTTACATGGAAACTGATGTTAATAGTATAAAGATTCTTCCTAAAAAGATGTTCCAAAGGTTATGTGCCTTTTCCCCCATGATGTATTTGCATGCTTCAGTAAGAACGCACCCTTCTCTGCTTTCAGTTATTTTGTTCAGGCCCTGTTATCACACACTTTTCAATGTACCTCTTTCTAATGTATTGAGGAAGACATTTGTTCCTTTGTTTGAGATCTAATGAAATATATTTTGGTCTAACTTTTGGATGACTCTCCGATGTGACTTTATGGGTAAAAGTAATTTTATAAATTTCAAATGGGCCAACAATTTTTGGCCCAAGAAAGTTGTAAGACTGCTATTTCATTATTGCAGCATATGGTCTTGAAATCTCCCACAAAGGCCAAGACATATCTCCTTAAGTATTTTATTTTCCTTCTCAAAGGACAAGACATACCACTCCAAGGCTCATACAATTTAGGCAATTGATTCCACTTTCAGGCAAACAGCTTAAATCAACATGAATACACACATACACACACATTTTAGTTATACATAATAAGGACTACAGGCCAAGTAAAAACAATTTGACTGACTACATTTTTTACCTTATAATTTTTATGTCTTTGAGATGAAGAGTGTGGTCTGGCTTGGAAGGAGTTAAGCATCATTTTATGGGAGCCTAAAAAAAACTAACTAACTATATAAACTGTATATATAGTTTGTACCAGTCAGGATAAGTTTGGTAGGCTGGAGTGACAAACTTCAAGCCACAGGGATTTAACATGGCCTATTTGTCACAGATATAGGTCTTGTTGGGTAAACCACAGGGCTCTTTCCTCAGCATAGCTTTTCAAGGGCTAAAATAGAGGAACAGTCACAATTTCAAAGAGTATCTTAGAGACCTGGAAATTCTCCCAATGGAAACTAGAGCTTCCTCCAAAAAGAGACACACCTACTTATTTACAATATCTAGGCCAAAACTAGTTACCTCAGCCTACTCAGCTACACCAGGCCATGAAGTGCAGCCCTACCATAGGCTCAAAATGAGAGAAGAACAAACACTGAAACAAGACTAAGCTTTGTAATAACCACACTGGCATAATTGTTTCTTATAATATTCCAAAAAATGATATAAACTCACCTGAAGTAGTTTGGGGTCTCCTTTTGCTTCCAGTAAATCTTGAGGTACTAGGAGAGGCTCGCTTTTCTCACAGCTCTCCTGGCTGATGAGCGTGTCCGCATAGTTGGGCTGCGGGAAGATCAGGTGACTCTTCCGCGAGTCCGCGGTCAGGGAGACCTCGTGCGAATATGTTTGCAGGAAGGCCCGCACCCCGTCCATGCCCACAAACTGCGAGGCAGGCACGCCTGCCAACCCCCCTCCTGAAGCCTGGAGCAGACGTGATGTGTACCAGCGCCTTAGCCTGAGTGTCAGCAACACAATGAAAAAAGCGAGGAAGAGGCAGGAGACTGAGGCCACAGCCACCACCAGGTACAACGTGAGGTCTGAGGTCTCTGGGGTCGAAGAAATCTCAAGACTGCCCAAATCAGCCAACACATCAGGGATACTGTCAGCCACAGCCACAGTAAGCGTGACAGTAGCAGAGAGAGGGGGCTGTCCGTGGTCCTGGACCGCCACCACTAGGCTCTGCTTGAGCGTGTCTCTGTCCAGCAAGGCGCGCGCAGTGCGCACCTCGCCCGTGTGCAGCCCCACCACGAAGAGCCCTGGCTCGCTGGCCTTGAGCAGGCGGTAGGACAGCCAGGCATTCTGGCCTGAGTCTTTGTCCACTGCTACCACCTTGGTCACCAAATATCCAGGTTCTGCAGAGCGAGGCGCCAGTTCCACACCGGTGGAACCGTCTGTGGGGAGGGTGGGGTAGAGGATTTCAGGTTCATTGTCATTCTGGTCCAGCACAAACAGGCTTAGAGACACGTTGCTGCTGAGAGGAGGGTCCCCACTGTCACTGGCTGTCACCAGTAGCTTCATGTCTCTAACCTGTTCATAGTCGAAAGATCGAAGAGCGTAGAGGACTCCCGTGTCAGAGTTGATGGAGATATAAGTGGAGAGAGGTGCCCCCTGGACAATATCCTCAGTCAGTGCATAAGTAATGTGGGCGTTCTCAATGCTGTCAGGGTCCTTGGCGGTGACAGAGAAGATAGAAGCACCCCTGGGGTTGTTTTCTGGGATATAGGCAGAATAGGAGGTATTAGTGAAGGCAGGTGGGTTGTCATTGATGTCTGCCACATGCAGGGTGATGTGAGTGTCTGTAGACAGTGGTGGACTTCCCCCATCTGTTGCTCTCAGAGTGATATTGTATTCAGAAATCTGTTCCCGATCCAGGGAGCTGGCTGTCACTAAGCGGTAATATTGGTCTATTGATTTTTCCAAATTAAATGGCAAATTTCCCAAGACAAAAACTGTGACTTGCCCATTTTGCCCAGAATCCCGGTCATGGACATTGACAAGGGCAACTTCTTTTCCCGCAGTTGCCTCTTCTGAGACTGTTCCTGTGAAAGAAGTGATTGTAATTTCTGGTGCGTTGTCATTTACATCCAAAACTGTCACTAGAATCTTAGCTTTTGCGAGGAGACCTGGTCCATCTTGTGCTTCAATTTTAATTTCATAGAACATAGCATCCTCATAATCTAGACTTTTTAATATGGATATATCGCCAGTGACTGAATTGAGATTAAAAATCTGAGCAATTTTCCCGGGCATTTTATCTAGTATATAGGACACTTGAGCATTGAATCCTTCATCAGGGTCAGTGGCATTCACAGTGAGCAGCCGGGTCCCCACTGGAAAGTTCTCCTGAACACTTATTCGATACTCAGGCTGACTAAATACTGGTGGGTTGTCATTCGCATCCAGAACTATCACTTGGATGCACAAGTTGCCAGAAAGAATAGGTTCCCCACCATCAGAAGCAATGAGAACAAGCTGGTGAACTTTCTTTTCCTCACGGTCCAGAGACTGCTCTAGCACCAGCTCTGGGTACTTGGCCCCATCGGAAATAATCTTCACAGCCAGGGAGAAGTAGTCATTGGGGGTTAGCTGGTATTTTTGCAGCGAGTTCATGCCTACATCTGGATCAAATGCAGTCTTAAGTGGAAATCGAGTTCCAGGAGCCGTTAGTTCACCAATTTTTATTTCCAATTCCTCCGTTAGAAAATCAGGAGCATTATCATTAATATCTCTAATTTCTATTTCTACTTCAAAAATTTTCAATTTGTCTTCAACCAAAATGTTAAGTTTTACTAGACACAGCGTACTTTGAGGGCAGAGCTCCTCCCGGTCTATCCTGCCCGCGGTGACCAAGCTGCCGCTTCGCAAGTTCAAAGCAAAGAGCTGCGTCCTACCTCTGGAGACGATGCGGACTCCGCGCTCTGCCAGCTCCGGGGGCTTCAGCCCCAGGTCCTTGGAGATGTTGCCCACGAAGGAGCCTTTGTCCAGCTCCTCCAGCACTGAGTAGCGAATCTGCCCGGATCCAGTCTTGCACAGCGTCCCCAGGAGCACACACAGCAGAGCCAGTCCTCCGCCGTTTCTGATCAGATAATTCGTCATTTCCTTTTTGGTGTATTGTTTGTGTGTGTGTGTGTGTGTGTGTGTGTGTGTGTGTGTCCGGTTCCAATTTCCCCAACGAAATCCACTCTTATTTTCTCAATGAGCTAAGCTCTTCGTGGGCCAGTTTCATAGGTCACAGTGGTGGTTGACCGACAGGGTGAGCGTAGCAGCCCGGGATCTCCTGAGTCTGATTTGCTGACTGCTTTTTAGGGACAAGGAAATGGTGGACTTGCTCTCCAGCTGCATTTTTCTCCTTGAGTGGTAAACAGCGACGCTCAGAGGCCTAACCGTTTACTGCACCCTTTCAGACAAACCCAAGTTTCTATTTTTAAGTTACCCAGTACCCAAAATCCTTTTTATCATAGATAACAGGATTGGGGTTTGCTTCACATAATTGAAATGCTTCATATTAAAGGACATGACTTCAAGCTACTTCCTCCAAAAGCCACGCACAAACCTTAATGCCACCAATATAGCTTCAAACACCCTGGACTTACTATTGAAATATTCTAAGTTTAAGAACACACAGAACCATCAGATATATTTATGAATTATGCCACTTGATGTTTGTTCTTGACAGCCTGAAATATTAGTTTTAATATTTTTTTTATTTAACCAATTCATTAAGCAAACATATAATTGGGGATAATATCTGGGGGTTTCAGATGAACAATATGGACAAACCACTTCCTTCACAGAGATTATGAAGATATAAAGGCAAACAAAGAATGAAGGTGCATTGTAATCCTGGCCTTGGAGTATAGCAAAGGTTTTCAAAAAAAAAAAAAAAAAACAAACCAGGAGAGGAGTGGATCAGGGAAAAGGCCTGGAAGAGAGAGAACAGCATGGCAATACTTGGATGTGAGTGAGGAATCACAGAACTTCAGGGTACTGAAAGTAGTTCACTTAGGTCTAGAATGTAAGAAGCATTTTGAAAGACCCACACTGAAACTAGGAGAGATAAACATTTGTTTTATGTCCCAGAAACCTTTTTTTTTTTTTTGGTATTTGTTTTCCTCTCCAAGCACAAAATAGGAATACAATACAGTTGTCATTTAAATTATCACGCATCATATACCCATGTATAAGGCATTTATTCTTGTGTTACTATATACATTAAAAGAAACTGTTTTTAATTTTCATCAGTTCATAATTTATTAATTACTTACAAGATGTTATAAGGTATTATTCCACAGTGAGCTCCAATTTTATTTCATAGAGAATTGCATAATAGTAATAAACACAATGGAATACATTGTCTTGGATCAATTTTCCCTCAGATGCTTTTAAATATAATAACCACAGCACATTGAAAGATGATGATTCCATTAAGTACAAGACTCAGTACATGATTACTTCTAAATAAAAATAAAAATAATCCCAGTTACATAAAAATATTAGCATATTCTTTGTTCTCTGTTTTGGCTATATGACTAACATACTAAAAGCTAACATGGGAAGTAGAGTGGGGAAGGAAAGCTGTGGTTGTGAGGGGAACTGAGGTTGGGTAAAGGATTAGAAATGTTTTGGGGTTTTTTAATTGGGATTTTTATTTACTGAATCTTCCTCTGGGTCTTACCTGTGTCCCAAATACAGTAAAAAAAAGGTTGCCATAACCTCAAATGCTTTCAGAAGGAAGGTTTGGAAAGAGAGATGTATAAAGAGGGTTTCAGGGGCAGTTATTGACATGGCCTCCAAATCCCTTGAGAATACATATTATTTTTAAAGTTAAAGGCAATATGGTTATCCGGTACAAGAAAAATAACATCAAAGAGAAATATGTTTACTATTACACTGACAATTTATTATACAGCAAATAATTCAATCACTTCTTCAAGAAACACATAGCTACTGTAAAGGTAAATGAGATTTTTTTTTTTTAACTAAGCAAAGATACCATGACATGTCTTCCTGAAACATGGTGAAGCATACGTATTTCTAAATTTCCATCTTTTAAATAGGAAAGGCCATGCAAATCAAGTAAAATGAAGAACCTCACTGCCAAACTGAAGGAAAAATAAGACTGGGTGAGGAGAAACTAGCGAAATCAAGTGTTTCATGATCCATATGCAAAACCAAATAGAAAATATAAAAGCCTTAAAATTTAAAGCACCTGAGTAAACGTAATATCAACCTTTGTATTTTTAAGATAGAAAGAATTGTTGATCCAGATAGATGAGATGATTCACCTAAGGATGGGAAAGTATAAGAAACCAGGTATCCCCATTCCCAATGCTCTTTTGATGACTTAGGTACCATCTTCACCTACCAATTCCTGACTTATACTTATGATACAGTGATTCTGGCTCCTTTCCCCCCTTACAATGTGTGAACACTTAGAAGAAGTGAGAAATAATTCACCAGGACTCATTTTCTAAAAATTGTATGTAGTCTCAAGAAAATATGGGAAATAGAAGGGAGATGGTAAATAGTGGAAGAAGCTAAGTAAGTAGGTAATTTTATTTATTTTAGCATAAGCTCCTAAGTATATTATGAAGAGAGTTTACCTGAGGAATTGTTTCTTCTCCTTTATCTTCAAGTAAAGACTGGGGTGCTGATAGGAGATCATTTTTCTCACAGCTCTCCTGGCTGATGAGCGTGTCCACATAGTTGGGCTGCGGGAATATCAGGTGACTATTCCGTGAGTCTGCGGTCAGGGAGACCTCATGCGAATACGTCTGCAGGAAGGCCCGCACCCCGTCCATGCCCACAAACTGCGAGGCAGGCACGCCCGCCAACCCCTCTCCTGAAGCCTGGAGCAGACGTGACCTATGCCAGCATCTCAGCCTGAGCGCCAGCAGCACGATGACAAAGGCGAGGAAGACAGAGGAGACCACGGTCACTGCCACCACTAGATACAGCATGAGACTGGAGTCATCAGGATTGGTGGAAGGCTCCAGATTGCCTAGGTCGGCTAAGACATCTGGGATGCTGTCAGCCACGGCCACCGTGAGCGTGACGGTGGCTGAGAGAGGGGGCTGGCCGTGATCCTGGACAGCCACCACCAGGCTCTGCTTGAGCGCATCTCTGTCCAGCAGGGCCCGGGCAGTGCGCACCTCGCCCGTGTGCAGCCCCACCACGAAGAGCCCTGGCTCGCTGGCCTTGAGCAGGCGGTAGGACAGCCAGGCATTCTGGCCTGAGTCTTTGTCCACTGCTACCACCTTGGTCACCAAATATCCAGGTTCTACAGAGCGGGGTGCCAGCTCCACGCCAGTAGAACCGTCAGTGGGGAGGGCAGGGTACAGGATCTCTGGTGTGTTGTCGTTCTGATCCAGAACAAATAAGCTCAGAGACACATTACTACTGAGCGGTGGTTTCCCGCTGTCCTGTGCTGTCACCCGCAATTGAAGTTCACGGAACTGCTCATAGTCAAAGGAGCGCAGGGCATATAGGACCCCAGTGTCAGAGTTGATGGAGATGTAGGATGACAGGAGCACCCCCTGGAGGGTGTACTCCAACAAGGAGTAAGTTACACGGGCATTTTGGTCGCTGTCGGGGTCATGGGCCTTCACAGAGATGATGGAGGTGCCTCTAGGGTTGTTTTCCAGAATGTAGGCAGAGTAGGAAGAGTGAAGGAAGGTGGGTGGGTTGTCATTGATGTCTGCCACCTGCAGTAAAACATGAGCATCTGTGGACAGAGATGGGTTCCCTCCATCTTTAGCAGTCACAGTGATATTGTAAGAGGAAAACTGTTCTCTGTCAAGGGCATTGGTTGTAACCAGTCGGTGATAATTGTCCACTGACCTTTCTAACTTGAAAGGAATGTTCTCTGGAAGGGAACATGTGATAAATGCATTCTGCCCAGAGTCTCTATCATGTACATTGAAAAGTGCAATTATGGTTCCTGGAGGAGAGTCTTCAGAGATTGAGCTAGTAGCAGTGGTCATGTAAAATTCTGGGGCATTGTCATTCATGTCCAGAACTGTGACAATTACTTTCGTTCTTGTCAGAAGGCCCGGACCATCCTGAGCTTCAACATCAATTTCATGGAATTTGGCATCCTCATAATCTAGACTTTTTATGATCATTACATCTCCAGATGTCGACTTAAGCTCAAATACCTCTGAGGATTTTCCAGGATTTTTCTCTTGAAAATATACCACTTGAGCGTTGTATCCCTCATCTGCGTCAGTGGCGGTCACTGTGAGTATCCTGGTGCCTACGGGCATATTCTCTGGAACACTTATATGGTACTCAGGCTGTGTAAAAACAGGCGCATTGTCGTTCACATCCAGGACCATTACTCGGATGCGGGAGGTGCCAGATCGGACTGGGTCACCCCCGTCCAAAGCCATGAGGACGAGGTGGTGAACAGCCTCTTCCTCGCGGTCCAGGGTTCGCTGCAGCACCAGCTCTGGGTACTTGTTCCCATCTGCCCCGCTTCGCACATCCAGGGAGAAATGGTCATTTGGGTTAAGTTCGTACTTCTGAAGGGTATTCTGTCCTACGTCCGCATCATGAGCACTCTTGAGAGGAATCCGGAATCCCGGCGTAGTTGTTTCACTGATTTTTAGCTCCAGGTCCTCTACTCCAAACCGAGGGGCATTATCATTAATATCTGTTATTTCCACCTCTACTGAATATACAGTCAATTTATCTTCCAAAAGGATGTTAAAATTCACCAGACACCTCGTGCTCTGAGCGCAGAGCTCCTCCCGGTCTATCCTGCCTGCGGTGACCAAGCTGCCGCTTCGCGGATTGAGAGCAAAGAGCTGTGTCCTACCTCTGAAGACGATGCGGACTCCGCGCTCCGCCAGTACCAGGGGCTCCAAACCCAAGTCTTTGGCGATGTTGCCCACGAAGGAGCCCTTGTCGATCTCCTCCGACACAGAGTAGCGCATCTGCCCCACTCCAGCCTCCCACAGAGCCGCCAAAAGGAGGTACAGCAGGACCAGCTTTCCGCGTTGTGGCAACTTTTGCAAAACCGCCATTCCTTCTCTTGCAGTCTTTTCTCCGAGGCAACTTCCAGCACCCAGTGAGGGATACAATCTTTATTCTTGAGGGTCTGGGGTGAC